TACACCAGCAAAGGCAAAAACGAAAGGCGAAGAGCGAAACCGATTTGTGTGGTGGCTGTGGAGCACCACACGAAGGGACACTGGTGTTTGAACATCATCATTATGTCAGCGATGATTTAAAAGCGCCATTCCGCGGGCAATGCATCAGAGGTGGTGCCTTCGATGGAGGTTTACAGGACACGTCCTGCGTGGTGCTGGGGCTTTGGACAATCCCAGGGGCTCTCACCAGAACCGAGGGGCGTCCATTGGTGCTAAATTAGGGCACTGAACTTCAGCGGGAGACAGCAGGGGATCTGTGAAGGAGAACGGACGGAACAACAGCTCTGCTGTTTCTCATCCCACGGAAACCGATGAGCTCTGCGCAGCAGCAGCTGCCCCCGGAGGGCAGCTCCAGCCCTCACCGCCGCCCGAAAGGAGCACATGAAAAGCTCCCACAATAATGGGAACCCGGCAGTACATCGGGTCTGCCTGCGAACCAAGGACGACCGGACCTCGGACCGAGCCCAGATCGCCAGCGCGGAGCTGCGGACAGAGGTGCAAGGACCCCGCTACGCCTTTCACTCGAGAGGAAGGACGGCGGTGCCCCGGAGACCCCAAACACCGGGCTCCCCCCGCTCGGGAGGTGTGGCAGGCAGCAGCACTGAGCCCTGCGGGAGCCCCCAGCCCAGGCTCGCTCCCAGCTCCGCGCTTCTCTCGGTGGATGGGACGGAAAGTACTTTGGCAGCATCGCCGGGCTGATCGGCTCCGAGCCCCTCTGCTTTGCCAAGGAGGGCTGTGCCTGCTGGCAGAGCGAGCAGTGCTGTCAGGATGCCCTTCAAAAAGCTCGCAGCTGCCCCTTGGGGACTCGGAGCAGAGATGATTTTTAGCTATCAGCAGCCCGGAATAACAATCTCATATGCAGAGAATTTCTAGATTCCCACGAAAATCCTCACTACCTCCATCGAGGCACAGAAACGGGCACCCACTGCATGCTATTCAGTACATCGCAGGCAAGATCTCGTCTCTTTAACACGAGGACACAGATCGGTGTGTTCACTCCCAGTCAGAGACCACCGGACTTGACGGAAGCTGGCGGGGAGGACACCAGCGACAGCGGGCACGGGGGCTCAGTCCCGCTCGGGCGGCAGGAGCGGCTCCGACCCGAGAGTCTCTGACAACTCCGAGGCAGCCGTGACGAGCATTTCCCTGCCTGTAAAATCTCGTTTGGAAGCTGCAAAACATCCTCCGGCCACCACGGCGGAGCAGGCGCTGCTGCCTCTTCCCCTCCGCTTCTCCCGCCCCCGGAGCCGCCCGCAGAAGCGCTCGGCAGCGCTCCCGGCTGCCAGCCCCGCCTCGGCTGCCAGGATTGCGCTGAGCCTGATAACACCGCCTTAATCAGCGTCACTCTCCAGAACAACGGGCGGCGATAAGAACAGCCTGGGCTTGCAGCGGCTGACAGCTCTGCGCGAAATTGGCATCGTTTATTCAGGGCACTGACGGATATTCTAGAGTCTTCTGTTAACCACTCCTGCTCAGATTATTCCAGGAAGTAAAAGCATCCACGAGCTGTTTCTAAAGTTAAGATTGCTTTATGTTTCTAACAGAAATATTGAAATAGTTTCTTGACAGTGTACGTCTATAACAAACGCCGGTAAATTCTTCAACTCATTACTACAGTCAGAGAAACGAAGGGGAAACAGAAGCCAAATCCTGCCCTGCCCCAAGCGATCGGCACTGAGACCCCACATCGCCCTTAATCATAACCTAAAGAAACGAGTCGCTTCCCACACCTGTGCGCAAATGCTGTTTCTCCATCTTCAACAGAGGTAGTTAAATCTGTTTATAAGTTTAAAATACACGTTTTTCTTTTAGAAAATCGTAGTTCCGTCACACCTATGTGATTAAATGAAAGAAGTGACAATTCTACAGAGCTGGGGCAAACCTTGCTTCTCACAAGTTAAGTAGTTCACCCATTAAGTGGTGATGACTCACTCTCCTTCAGCACGCGACTCCTGTTCACCATCAAAGGAGACTAAATAAACAATCCTCAGCAAATACACAAAGAACTCAAAGCCGGTACTAAGTGATCTAAGAGAAGAAAAGATAAAATCGTGCGACACACTGAAATGTTTTTCTACGGATCAACAGGTAATAACCCACTCCTACGATACTTTTCAAAAAGGACATGAAGTTTTCAAAATTCGTTGCTGTTTTCTGTACACCTATAAGCACCATTCTCGTAATTTTGGAAACAACGATCCGTCATTTAAATTCTACAGCCCGTGTCCTTCCTCTAAAGATCTCCATTAGCTCAAAAGGTTTTGAGCTAATGGAGATCTTTAGAGGAAGGACAACTTGACCCAACTTAGTCAAACTAAAAATACCGCGTTTACAGCTATCACTGTGTCTTAAAAATATGGGGGATAACCAAAGGAATTGAATACATAACACGAAATTATATACGTACTGCTTGGTTTTATTACCCCGGCAGTTTTATGCATTTCGATTTGAAGCTATAGAGAAAATTAAACTAAATAGATCATCCCTTTTTCTTTTAAAAATTGCTTTAATTTTCTGACACTGAACAAGAAAGGCTAATCATGACCCTAAAGTCTTATCTCAAAGATTGACTTGAAGCTGGCCGAGATGAGAACCGAGACAATTCAGTGCCATCAGTGAAAGGAAGAATCAGCTGCAAAATAATGATGTTGAAAACAACCTGGTAATTCAACAGTCGCTCTCTGCTTTGAGAAATCATTGAGGAAAATAGTACCAAAACTGTTCTCTTGGTATTTTCTGCTCTACTGCTGAGAGAGCCAAAAGCTTTCAACCTACCATCACTGGACCACTGAACACCACACACAGAAGTTTTCCATTATAATTTTCCCTTAACCAATTTCCCTCCACTTTCCTCTCCCACCAAATTTGGACTCTTTTTTCTACAGCGTATTTCTGAACGGATGGGATAAAAGAGAAGCCCGATCACTACGAAGACTGAGATCAGGTAGAGGGAAATGGTAAATTACCACCCCGTCCCCCAAACAGTTCTCTGTTTTCCCACAAAGTCCTGGATTTTCCTTCACTCCACCCTCACACACGCACATATTTTCGATGGACTTCCAGAAAGAGAACAACGCTCACAACTTCCAACATTTCATCCGCCCTTTTCGCCCCAGAATTATCATCTCATGTATTTCAGTTTCTCAACAGTGGAGAATCGCGACAATAAGAAAGCTTCTAAATCTAAAAACTCAGAGCGCGTCTTGGCGCTTGACTGACAACAGTCATCAAATAATAAACGCACCTAGTTCAAAGAAAAAATGACATACACCTTGAGGGAGATATCAAACCATGCAATACTGAACAACTCACAGGTTGAAAGACGCTTAAAACAGAAAAATAAAATAACCCATAACAACTAGCACTGCAATTTGACGCCAAGTAGGAAAAAAACCACCAAAAATTGCAAACCCAAATAATAATATATCGTCCAGTGCAAGATAAGATTTTTAAAGTGAAAGAAGAAAACACGGAAATTTTGAGGAGCAATCATGTATACAGCAAATGAAATTTCCAAATAAGGCACATCAAGTCTGAATGCAACAGACTGAAAAGCTAGGACATCGATCTAAACTCTTATCACAGAAAAAGTGTTTTAATACATCGAGGATCCATGTATTGAGTAAATAGTACTACCAAAAAGAGAGAAACAAAAATGTAAGTTTTTGAAGACTCTTACCACGCTTGAAGCAAGAGGGGAGAGAGACGGCCCCGTCCCAGCAGAACCGTTTTCTGCAGCAGAACCGGTTGTCGTTCACGTCCAGCACCTCCAGCACCACCTTGCAGTGACCCGAAAGCGGAGGGGAGCCTTTGTCCCTTGCTTCAACAGGGATCTCGTAACTATGGGTTTCTTCATAGTCTAATTTGCCTTGAAGTCTTATTTCTCCTTTGTTTTCGTCGATAGTGAACATTTCTTTAACTTTTGTACTAACACGTCTACTAAATAAATACATAATATCACTGTTGATCCCTTCGTCAGGATCCGTGGCGCTAAGCGTGACTAACAGAGTCCCGAGCTCTGAACCTTCTAGGATTTTAACTTTATACACAGACTGGTTGAACTGGGGCGCGTTGTCGTTCGCATCCAGCACCGAGATCACCAGCTCCATGGTGCCTGTCAGAGACGGCCGGCCCCCGTCACTCGCCGTCAGCACCAACCGGTGCACGGGAATCGTCTCGCGGTCCAGAGATTTCGTTAAAATAAGACCCAAAGACGCACTCTGGTCATTATTCCCCAGATGATCAAGACTGAAATACTCGCTGGGGCTGAGTGTGTAGGAGAGCTGCGCATTCGCTCCGATATCCGCATCCGACGCGCCCTCCAGCGGGAAACGAGACCCCGGCACAGACGATTCCGCGATGTTAAAGGCTTCTTCGTCCACACGGAACACGGGGGCATTGTCGTTGATGTCGGTGACCTCCAGCTGCACATGGAAGACGCGCAGCGGCCGCTCCAGCAGCACCTCCAGGCGCAGCGCGCACGGCGCGCTCTTGCCGCACAGCTCCTCCCGGTCGAGCCGCGAGCTCACCAGCAGCGCGCCGCTCGCCCCGCTCACCTCCACGCTCGCCCGCCGGCCCTGCGCCACCAGCCGCAGCCGCCGCGCCTCCGCCTCGCCCGCCTCCAGGCCCAGGTCCTGCGCCAGACGGCCCACCACCGTGCCGGCCTTGGCTTCCTCCGGCACCGAGTAGCGCACCTGCCCGCCCGCCAGCGCCCAGGCCGCCTGCAGCAGCACCAGCACCCGCAACACTGGCCCCCACCGCATCGCCGCCGCTCTCGGTGCCTTCCCTGGCTCTAAAAGGCTCCTCGCCACTCCCCCGTCCTCCGCCTTAGGGTCTCCCTGGGACAAGCGGCACGCTGCTCCGCTTTCTCGGCGCCCCGCCCGGGCCGGTCCGCCGCATCCTTCCTCCGGCTGACGGCACCGTGACTGAGGCTCAGGGAGGAGCTGCCGCCCTTCCGTGGCTCACGGCGCCTTCGCGGCCAACAGCGGCATCTGGTGTCCGACCGCGGCTCCTTCCGTGAGCCGCCGCCTGCTGCCCTCCTCCCGCTGCGGCTCCGTGCGGGGACGGACCTGCCGTGGCTCCCCCCGCTCGGCCGACGCGCTCCGAGATTTCTCTTCGGAACACTGCCTTCCACCGCAGCGGTAATAGTTGGTCCTTTTGTCTCCTCTTTCTCTCCTCCTCTTTTCCTTCCTTAAGACACTTTAATTTAGAAGCACTCTTGCCAAAATGTACATATAATGGAACGCCCATATTAACCCAGGAGTCATACCTAGGAATATCTTCACTGCATAAAGCCTACCCCGCTTCTTATCTCCGGACTTCATCTTCTCTTATGCCTGAGGAGTAATAATTCAATTTTCTCATTTATGTTTTCTTCCAGAAGATACTTCAGCTGGTTCCTCTACTGAAGAAGACTGTATCCTCGATCTTCCATCTGTAGAAAGCACTCAGGTCTTCAGAAGACATAGATTCACATGAAATGTACTTGGTCTAGTCCAGAAATGCTAGAAACTAATAGAAATTGCTTACCTTTTCATGGCTTGGTGACAGGGATGTAGCTGAGACATTCCACACAGTCTCCTTGATTTTTTTGTAGATTAAATAATCCAGTACACCCATCATATGACAAAGAGTACCTGTGTCTGTCCATAGCAGAATTGTTTTGCCTTCCGAAGTGTATTTCCAACCGAGTAAAGCATCAGCAAATACCAATTCCAAAGGCTTTCAATTCCCTCAGAGACTCCCTAACTCTACTCTCTAAACATTCTGACAGAGCAGAAATCCTCTCAGAAGGGTTAAGTAGCTCAGGGAACCTGAATTCTCTCATCTTTATGTATCAGTATTTTCTCTAAGTTTTATCGCCCAAGTGTACTGCACAATGAAGATCAAGGTTTTGGTTGTCATTTTTTAGGCAGGTAGAAACTCACACTACAGCAAAGCCATGTGCCCATTACTGATGGAGATGAGCTGCTGCAGGACATAGCAGATTCAACCACAACACAACTGAAGATGAGATAAAAGGCTTGCACCACTGTTCTGGGAAGGCACAGTTCATCTCATAACAGGTTCCCAGGCTCCCACCTCATCTACTGGCATAAATACACCAGAGCCTCTTCTCTACACAGCTACAGCACTTTCTGCTGCCCTGCCCTGTAGGCCAGGCAGTAACATAAACCAGGGAATTTCACAGATTAGTGAGTTGCTGGTTCTACCACAGGAAGAATCAACGATGCACGCACCCAAAGGTAAAAAACAACAACAAAAAAGGAACATACAAAATGCTAAAAAGGTCCATGTAGGTCTGTCAACAGATACTTTTAATTACAGCTGTTGCTGTTCTAACTGTTGTCTTGATTTATTTCTAGGTCTCCATTGTCAGTCCTGTGTTCAAGGATCACCGTTCAAAATTTCAGGGAAGCAGGGCTGAAAAATAAAACAGTTTTTTTTTTCCATCCTCTCAAATCCCTGCTGTATTGCAAACATTTCTGTATCCGTTTCTGTGAAGGCAGAAATAAAGGAAACCTAAAGCCTCACAAGCTCTCTCTCGAAGTATACTGACCTTAAGAGACTACAAGACAGTGAACCACAGTGATGGCAAACGGCACAGACTCTGAAATAAAAGACCATTATTTGGCAGCATGGCTTTCACTCACAATTGCCAACACATCTCCTGATACAATCAAGCTAAATCACTCTCTGGAAATCGGGAGTTTCAAGCATCATCCATCTTCGTATTCACATGATTATCATAAGGCAAGCATACAATGAGACAAAAAAAAATCAGTTTATTTTAAAAACTATTCTCAGGGAAGGGAAAAACAAAATTAAATTAAGTAATCACAAATAAGATAATGTTAAAACCCCACAACATCCTAGAAATACAATGCCTATGACTGCTGTGTACATGGGACTACCCAAGTCAGAAACCAAACTGAGGTGCACCTACAAATACTTTAATCCACTAAAACCAAGTCCTCTACCGATATGTTTTGCTCAGTCTAGCACTACAGGTGCACATTTTGACATCTACTTTTGTTTGTGTTTTTTCTGCAATTAAGTACCTTACATTAGAAAGAGCATTTCAGTCATACTTAGAAGGGGGAACTGTGAAATGCATCTGTCTTTTCATGTCCATAATAATTCTGTAGTACTTCACAAACTAATATATGCCATGCATGGTGAAGACGCAGGAACTTTATATATAGATTTCTGTTTCAAAGGTGAATCAAAGAAAAGGACGGACTTCTGAGTAAGAAAAGACTGGAAATCAGCAATTCACAGCAGTCAAAAGCCAGAAATTAATTAGAAATGCTCCACTTGCAAAACAAGGAAATGTAGGAAAGTGAAGATACTCCATTGAAAATGAAAGACTGAAAGAGGCACTCAGACTTCTGATTAATGCCACAGATGGAAGAAAACCAGACCTGATAACACCAGCAAGATAAGGCAATCACTGCAGTCAGGCAGAAATCTTTATCAAAAATTGTTCCATTTAATAACTCATTAGGGGATCTCAGAAAGTCACAGACAGTGATGTATCAAAGATTACAGGAGGTATCACCCTATGGAGCAGAGTTCAAATAGAGGTCTGCAGAAAAGAAATGCAGAAAGAGTTGGTTACTCTGAAGGAAACTGGCAAAATATTTTCACTGCAGGGGACTGCAAAGCTGAATAGACAAGAAAAAGATGTGGCTTCAAGAGAGATTGCGACTGATTCTGCAAAAGCCACTGAAGGTACTAAAATTACAAAAGAGAGAAGATAGTGACATATATATGAATTTCACTCTCAGTACCATCAAAAAGCCCAGACTCATTAGACTAAAAAAGGTATTTCATTCAACTTCGCACCGAGGGCAGCAAGATTTAAATATTTTGCAGAGCTCCCTTTCTTAACAGGGAAAGAGGAAGAGAGAAGATCACAGCGGCATAAAAAATCCGCTGGGATGCAAAACACTACAGCCACAGAAGATGAGGGATAATACAACCAGCACTCAGAGGATAAACGACCACGAAACACAGACCGCCCATGCGCCGCGAGGGCTGAGCTCGGCTCCAGGCAAAAACTGTCGAGGAGGCGGGTGAGAGGGGAGAGAGCAAGAACCCACACCTCCGGCGCGTTGTCGTTCACGTCCAGCACCTTCAGTTCCACGCTGCAGTGACCCGATAGCGGGGGTGTCCCTTTGTCTGTGGCTTCGATTTGCAATTCATGTAAACTAACGCCTTCGAAGTCCAAAGTACCCTTCAGTCTGATGTCGCCCGTCTTGGTGTCAATGGTAAAGAGTTCTTTTTTACCGATAGGAGTCGAACTCAAGATGCTGTAAGAAAACTGCTTATTGCTTCCTTCGTCAGGATCCGTGGCATTCACACGTGCTATGAGTGTCCCCTCTGTAGCGTTCTCCGGCAGCTGCACTTTATACACAGACTGGTTAAACTGGGGCGCGTTGTCGTTCGCATCCACCACCGAGATCACAAGATCCATGGTCCCCGTCAGAGACGGCCGGCCCCCGTCACTCGCCGTCAGCACCAACCGGTGCACGGGAATCGTCTCGCGGTCCAAAGACCTTGCGAGTACCAGAAACAGAGACTTCCTGTTTTCATCAGACGATTTAACATCGAGTGTAAAATATTCGCTGGGGCTGAGTGTGTAGGAGAGCTGCGCATTCGCTCCGATATCCGCATCCGACGCGCCCTCCAGCGGGAAACGAGACCCCGGCACAGACAATTCCGCGATGCTGAGGTTTTTGCGGGCGGCGGGGAAGACGGGGGCATTGTCGTTGATGTCGGTGACCTCCAGCTGCACATGGAAGACGCGCAGCGGCCGCTCCAGCAGCACCTCCAGGCGCAGCGCGCACGGCGCGCTCTTGCCGCACAGCTCCTCCCGGTCGAGCCGCGAGCTCACCAGCAGCGCGCCGCTCGCCCCGCTCACCTCCACGCTCGCCCGCCGGCCCTGCGCCACCAGCCGCAGCCGCCGCGCCTCCGCCTCGCCCGCCTCCAGGCCCAGGTCCTGCGCCAGACGGCCCACCACCGTGCCGGCCTTGGCTTCCTCCGGCACCGAGTAGCGCACCTGCCCGCCCGCCAGCGCCCAGGCCGCCTGCAGCAGCACCAGCACCCGCAGCACCGCCGCACAACAGCGCTCGCCCATCCTCCCTGCCGCCGCCGCCGCCGCCGCTGTGGCTGCCGGCCCCGGCCCGGGCCCCGCACGGCTCCCCGCCGCCGCCCGCACGCACCGGCTCTGCTGCCCGGCCCGCGCCGCCCCCCCGCGCTCACAGCCGGGCTCTCCGCCGCACCGGGGCGGAGCCGCCCACACGGAGCCGTTCCGGAGCATTCGCTCCGATATCCGCATCCGACGCGCCCTCCAGCGGGAAACGAGACCCCGGCACAGACGATTCCGCGATGCTGAGGTTTTTGCGGGCGGCGGGGAAGACGGGGGCATTGTCGTTGATGTCGGTGACCTCCAGCTGCACATGGAAGACGCGCAGCGGCCGCTCCAGCAGCACCTCCAGGCGCAGCGCGCACGGCGCGCTCTTGCCGCACAGCTCCTCCCGGTCGAGCCGCGAGCTCACCAGCAGCGCGCCGCTCGCCCCGCTCACCTCCACGCTCGCCCGCCGGCCCTGCGCCACCAGCCGCAGCCGCCGCGCCTCCGCCTCGCCCGCCTCCAGGCCCAGGTCCTGCGCCAGACGGCCCACCACCGTGCCGGCCTTGGCTTCCTCCGGCACCGAGTAGCGCACCTGCCCGCCCGCCAGCGCCCAGGCCGCCTGCAGCAGCACCAGCACCCGCAGCACCGCCGCACAACAGCGCTCGCCCATCCTCCCGGCCGCCGCCGCCGCCGCCGCCGCCGCTGTGGCTGCCGGCCCCGGCCCGGGCCCCGCACGGCTCCCCGCCGCCGCCCGCACGCACCGGCTCTGCTGCCCGGCCCGCGCCGCCCCCCCGCGCTCACAGCCGGGCTCTCCGCCGCACCGGGGCGGAGCCGCCCACACGGAGCCGTTCCTGAGCCTGCAGCGACACCGTGCGCTGCTCCGCCGCCGCACACGCGACAGCGACAGCATCTGCCATGCCTCCACTCCGTCATGGCTTGGCTGTCTCCTCTGCTTTTTCTCTTCCAACCCTGCTCGTCTTTCATTTTATTATTTGGGGTTTTTGTTTGTTTTGGGTTTTTTTTTTTTTCTGTTCCCTCTTCCTTACGCCGTCTGGTAACTCGCAAGAACCTTCCGGAGGCAGACAGCAGGAATAACAAGCCGGATCCACGAACTCGATTTACGCGGGATTAGCGTCGGACCGCGGCTATTGTAATCGAGGCAGGGGCCTTGACAACCAGCTTCGCCCAGATATTAGAGGTAAGGTCCTTGCGAGCTGCTCATCTCCTTTGCTGTTGTTTTCTTTCTCCTCTTTCTCATCTCCCATTCTTAATTACCTTCTTGTATAATTCATTTATAGTATCTTCTGTCTTTCTCTTCTCTCAGTCCTTTTATGTCCTCCTTTCTTGTTCTCCTCCTTTTCTGTGTACAGTGAGAATACAGTGACGTACCAATAAATTCGTCCTTCCTTCCTTCCTTCCTTCCTTCCGTCCTTCCGTCCTTCCTTCCTTCTGCACACACATACTCCTCTTCTTTATCTCCATTACCAATTTATTTTTCCATTACTTCACCCTCCCATGAAGCACAAACATGTCATTGGTGACAGTTCTCATTCCTCGCTGGTGTCATTTTTCATCTCTCCACTCAAGAAAGAAGCCTCCTGCTCACTTCAAATCTCTGCCACACTGACAGAGTGCTCTTTCACCTCACCTTCTGGAAGGAAACCACACCCTTCAGGCCCCATCCTCTCAAGGGAGAGAATTCACAGCCCTCTGAAACACAGGCCTAATCCCTAGGTACTTTGTTTGACATTAGTGTAAACAGACTTGACTAAGCACAAACAACCCAGTGAATCTTCTTCAGGAACTCAAAGCCATCAAGGCCCAGCACACCAATCCTTCCTGCATGCTGAAAAAAAAAAAAAAAATGGAGCAACCACAGCTTCCAAACATTCCATATACTCTGATGAAGAACTGTTCTTCAGGCCTCATTTGCCACCTGCATGCTGAATGTAAATTTCTGGCTTCATATTTCAGGCAGGCCAGCACAGTCAGAAACACACAGCAAGAACGTTCATCCCCAGCAGCATATTCCCAGTGGAATGTCTCTGTGTAACCTGATCCACAGGGTAAAGGCAACATAATCGTTTTATCTGTGTCAATCTCTCTGAGAACGCATCCTCAACTCCCAACACATCCACTCTGAGAAATATGTTAGGGTCCCTCCATCCGTGCTTGCTGTTATTTGCTCATGCCAAGTCTGGAGAAAGAAGATAGGAATGAGAGGAGGCAGTGGTGCTCTGCTGATCCAGTGAAGGAATCACAGAATATTTCAAACTTGAAGGCACCTATAAGGATCATCAAGTCCAACTCCAAATCCAGGCACATTTGGTAAATCAAAAATGAAGATACCGTGACTAAAGATGTATAAAGGTACAACTGTATTTCAGACTCGTCTTCTTTAGGTAGCAGGAACTTACCTGAAGCAACTCTAGCTCCTTCTTCAGAAAATATTTACTTTCAGGGGAGGGAATTGGTTCTGAAGGATATTTTCTTTTCATGTTTTCAGAGATTTCTGGGGGAGATGAATAGGAAAAAATGACCCACATTCTGCAAAAGTCACTAAATCACTGAACAGAGCAGAATGCTCCTTCATGCACTTCTATCACATGCAAAGTAGGAGAGACTCTGCAAATCTCAGGACATTCTCCCAACATCAACCTCAGCTTAGAAGACTGGAAAATCCATCCCTCATACTGATAGTTAGCCGCTGGAAACTCTGCTACCTGACAGCCACCAAAATTCAGCAGTCTGTGTTTCATTCACTGTTACCAACACATGGCCAGTGCAAAAGAAGAAAAAAATAAAAAAGATGGAATGTTTTGGTAAAAGGAGAGAAGAAAACTAGAAGGTCCTATTCCACCTCTATCAAAATGCCAGGTTGGACACCTTCTTGGTTATGGACAGAAGTTTTCCCACTCCCTATCAAGACAAGAGCAGAGATGTAAACAAGGAGAGCTTCAGAGAAGGCTGGCCAAGCAAGACTGATATTTGGGAAAGTTGCTGTTTCACCAACACCATATTTTCGAAAGCAAGTGATCCAAGTTTTGTATGGAAGATGTGTATGGCCAGAAGAGCATGGAGAATACCAAGGATACACACAGGACTTCAGAAGGACCTGAGAGGATCCCAGTCAAGCAAACCAGGGTGACAGGTGTCTTCACAAAGTTTTCCAGTGGAATCCTCTATCCCAAGCTCTGGGAAATGAATCTCCAGCCAAGCAGCTGGAGCTTTTCTCCCCCAGTGATAGTGCTTATGCTACACAGCATCTCCGTTTCCTCAGTAAAGAAACTTCTCCACTCAAAGTCCCCTCCCCATGACAGAGGGCCCAAGCAGTACTCCATGCCACTTAGAGGATTACAGCTGCAGCAGCCAAACTGCCCCACCAAACCAGCTTTCCCCAGTGATAAAATCCACTCTGAGCATGATCCAGGCCTTTGCACATCCCCACCTTCCCTCACAATTTGCACAAAGAACTTATTAAGGGATGCAAAGCCACAGCATTTCTGGCAGACTATGTGAAATTCACCCTATATGTGAAACACTTTTCAGCAATCTCAGATGGAAACACCACAGACCTACACATTAGAGATGTTTAAAATTCTGTGATCAGAGTGACAGCTTTGATCCTGACCCAGATTCATTTTATTTTGAGAGAACAACACCAAATGCTGATGCACAAGCACAGTAAAACTGTGGGAGAATTTCTATGATAACATCAGGGCTGGGCTGCTGTGCAGGGTGTTGTGTGGCCATGCAGGTATCAGGGTTAAGCACGATGAGGCAACACTCCATTTCTACTGAGGCTGACCCTGCAAGTGCTCAAGCAGGAGAGATGAGGCACACACAGATTATACTCTCTTCCTCATCACATCCTCTTGCAAATCCCACTTGACAAGCAGCAAGGAACCACCATGGCAAAATCAGCAGCTGAGGAAGCTGCTATAGACGTGCACCCCTACACAAGGACTCCAGCATGCTGAAGTCCTACCCTCCCACAATGCCTTCCTCAAAATAAAAGGGATGTGGTTCATCAAACAATTTTCAGCATTGCATTTCCTCTTACCAACACATTCTATACAGTAATGATGTATCAGCACAAATCTCTTTCTGTTTTGGGAGGACTTCATCACCTCAAAGGACTTTGTGGCCATTTCAATATCACACAGCATCTCAAGGTCCACAAGGCCTCCAGCTCCAGAACCTTAGAGTCTTGCAAAGGATGGCAGGCAGAAGCACTCTGTGCCCATCCTGCCTCACAGTTTTCTCTAGGTATCCTTCGTTCATCACTCTGGGACATGAGGTCTCAACCACATCATGACTCATTCTTGTCTTAAGACATGGCCCATGGTCTTCTCAATGAATCCCACCTTCCTCAGGCAGCTCTTCTGCTCACGATCACATAAAAAAAAAAAAAACCTGGGCCTAACTCTGCCACTGCCACACTCACTTCAGTAAACATGCTACAGTTTCCTTCCTTTACAGAAAGGAAAAAAAATACAAGGACAAAGTTGATAGTAAAGTCCATACTGCCTTTCCTACTTTCTGAATGAGCCTGATGATGGAACCTAAGTGCAGAATTGTTGTTTCCACAAGGAGTCAAATACATGAAGTCCCAAGTGTAGTTTTGTGTTACCTAGCAGGCAAGGAAAATGAAAGAGGACAGTTTTCAATAATAACCCAGACTTAATACCAACGTGGTCAGAAGCCACCAAAGGCATAAGTCAATACAAAGTGAATGGGGGTCTGTCACCACCCCAGCTTGTCTTGTATTCCTGCACCAAGCTGATATTGAAACCCGTCATGCAAAAAAGTGAGAAAATTGCCTGTAAAGATTGCCACTCTGGGCACCTCTCACTGCAATAGGCAGAGATTTCATTCCTGGGTAAAACACCTGCCCAGCGCAGCAAGACTCAGCTATGGATGGTAAATATTCTGCGGTGCCATAATACCTTATTTCTCCTTCCACACACCAAGAAATTGCAAAATTAGGGAAGAAGGCAAGTGATGGGAATGTGCCTTTAAGATCCTTAAACACTCACTGCCCTCAGGCTGCGGGGGGGTGGGAGCCTCGCTAAAAGCGAGAATTACCCAGGCTGCGGGAGAGAGAAATAAGAGACGGAGAAAGAAAGAGCGAGAGGCGAACAAGACCCACACCTCCGGCGCGTTGTCGTTCACGTCCAGCACCTCCAGCACCACCTTGCAGTGACCCGACAGCGAGGGCGTCCCTTTATCTGTCGCCTTGACATTTAGGTCGTATAAATTAACTACCTCGAAGTCCAGGGCGCCCGTCAGTCTGATCTCCCCAGTGTTATCATCAATGCTGAATAAATCTGAGGAAGAGGGGGGAACAACAGTATCGATTTCATATTTCACATCTCTGTTACTTCCTTCGTCCAGGTCCGTGGCGTTCATCTGTGCCACGAGCGTGCCTTGTATAGCGTCCTCAGACAAATGTACATTATACACCGACTGGTTGAACTGGGGCGCGTTGTCATTCGCATCCACCACCAGGATCACCAGCTCCATGGTGCCCGTCAGAGACGGCCGGCCCCCGTCACTCGCTGTCAGCACCAACCGGTGCACGGGAATCGCCTCGCGGTCTAAAGACTTTGCGAGTACCAGAAACAGGGATTTACTCCGAGAGTTACTGTTTTCTTCCTCTATTCTAAAATGCTCGCTGGGACTGAGTGTATAGGAGAGCTGCGCATTCGCTCCGATATCCGCATCCGACGCGCCCTCCAGCGGGAAACGAGACCCCGGCAGAGTGGTGAATTCCGCGATGCTGAGGTTTTTGCGGGCGGCGGGGAAGACGGGGGCATTGTCGTTGATGTCGGTGACCTCCAGCTGCACATGGAAGACGCGCAGCGGCCGCTCCAGCAGCACCTCCAGGCGCAGCGCGCACGGCGCGCTCTTGCCGCACAGCTCCTCCCGGTCGAGCCGCGAGCTCACCAGCAGCGCGCCGCTCGCCCCGCTCACCTCCACGCTCGCCCGCCGGCCCTGCGCCACCAGCCGCAGCCGCCGCGCCTCCGCCTCGCCCGCCTCCAGGCCCAGGTCCTGCGCCAGACGGCCCACCACCGTGCCGGCCTTGGCTTCCTCCGGCACCGAGTAGCGCACCTGCCCGCCCGCCAGCGCCCAGGCCGCCTGCAGCAGCACCAGCACCCGCAGCACCGCCGCACAACAGCGCTCGCCCATCCTCCCGGCCGCCGCCGCCGCCGCCGCCGCCGCTGTGGCTGCCGGCCCCGGCCCGGGCCCCGCACGGCTCCCCGCCGCCGCCCGCACGCACCGGCTCTGCTGCCCGGCCCGCGCCGCCCCCCCGCGCTCACAGCCGGGCTCTCCGCCGCACCGGGGCGGAGCCGCCCACACGGAGCCGTTCCTGAGCCTGCAGCGACACCGTGCGCTGCTCCGCCGCCGCACACGCGACAGCGACATCGCTGCCGCTCCGCGGATGGCATCTCCTCTGCTGTTTCGTCGTACGCTGCTCCTCTTTCTTTTTCTTTTTCTTTTTTTTCTAATCGCCTACTGTTTCCTTGTAAATATTTGTTTCTTCTTCTTCCTCGTCTTAATTTCTTTCCATATATTTCTTTTCCCTTCAATTTTCTGTATTGAATAGTTCTTACTTTTCTCTTCTCTTTTCTGCCTCTTTTCTTCTTTCTGCTCTTTTATTCTTTTCTGTCTTCTTTCTTCCCTGTCCCTTCGTCTTTCTCTCGTCTTCACCATCGCTGGCAGGTATTCAGTCGCTTCCAGCGCCCCTTTTGGGACCATCAAAGCCGGAGTGATCAGCGGTAATTACGGAGCATCAGCTTCTGAAAGCACTGCTCTCACCAGGGGCGAGGCTGTTAGGGACTAGCTCCGTTCAGCGTCTAGAGACAAACTCGGTGATTGCTGGTCCTTTATAGTGTCTTCTGTCCTTTCTTGCTTGCTTACTTAGTTGGTTCGGAGTTGCATGGATTCCTTCCTTTCTTTTTAATTTTCATCTTCATCTCCTTATGCTGTTTTCTTTACCTCTTCACTTTTCTTTTACCTTTTGTAGTTCTCCTTCCCTATATCTTCTCTTTCCTGCTCTTTTTTCTTCACTTCCTGTTCCATTCCCATCCTTATCTCTCTATTCCTATTTTCCACCTGTATGAAAAGACTTTCCAAATGTCTACAGCTTCTTTGCGATAAAGGATGTAAATGTCTCTTTGAAAGGGCTATCATTTCTCTTTGCATCAATTCCTCAATTTCCTTTTGTTTTTTTTCCCCATCACTGCTGTACCATCTGGAACAGAATCAGCAACCCCAGCTACAGGGATGTGTAATTAAAAGGTGCACCAAATATTACAAACAACTCAAGGGAGTTTCTCACTCTCAAAGCCATCACAGGCCAGCACACCAAACATCCAAGAATGCTGCAAAAACTCTTAGCAACCACAGCACCCGAGCACTTCTCATAGACCTCATGTATTCTTCCAATATAATCAAGGGTTACTCTTCATGACTCATGTTCCTGCACAGCCAACAAAAAGCCACCAGGTGAACATCATGGCATTGTCACTGAGAAAATCTGCTGCATTCCAAAGACATCTAATCCAAGAAAGGCAGTAAGGTAATTTCTCCATCTGTCCTTGCTTCCACGTGCTCACTCTGTGCCAGGCAGCAACAGGAAAGGAATGAGAGCAGGCAGTCGTGCTCCAAACCTACAGGCATTTCAATCCAGGCAATATTCAGTCTGGATAGACAATATTCCAGTTTTTCCAACATGAAGATACCACAGCTGAACAGGAACCAAAGTACACTTTTCTTTCACACACAGCCGCTTCAGGTACAAGCAACTTACCTGTAGCATCGCTGATGTCGTCTTCCGGAAAAAGAAACATTTTCAGAACAGGAGAACTGGTTTTAAGGGACATTATCTCCTAATTTTGTAATTTTGCAGCATACTGGACAGAAAAAACAATACTCACATTCACCAAGAGCTTTGAAATACAGGGACAATGAGTAGTACTTCCTTTTGCACTTCTATCCCCGGGGAAGCAGGAGGGACACCTGAAAGTTAGTGATAATCTCTCAACAGCAGCCTCAGCTTGAAAGAGTGGAAAAACTTTGCCCAAGACCAATGGATTACTGTCTATATATCTGCCACCTGACCGCTGCCAGTATTTCACCATCTGCATGTCATCCACTGTTACACGTTGCCAATGTGAGAGTAGAAAAAAGCGTGAGTGCTCTTTCTCAGACACGAGAAGAAAGCAAAGGAATGTGTCCTGCTGTATCCGAAATGCCATGTCATTGGACTTTCCACAAAAAAGACAAGCAATTAAAGGCCTGTATTGCAGGCACTTTTATAAGCAGTAACATCACATAATACAACAGCGCTCAAGGATGTGCAGACCTGCTGGAGTTCCTGAGAAGATCCCAGAAGAGCAGCTCTGTGTGCTGGGCTTTTTCTCCATGTTTTCCACTGGCATCCTCTATGCTGTCCATTGGAAATGAGACCTCTACACCTAAGCAAACATTCTCCACTTCATCCACAATGACACAGACCATGTTCTACTCAGCATCTCCGTTCCCCTGAGGCAACACTCTTCCCCACTCAAACTCCCCCTCCCCACCGTACAGGTCCAGGCCCTACTTGATGCCATTCGAGGAATCACTGCCAAAGTATCAAACATTTCTCAACTCCAGCAATATGTCCCATCTGTAACTCACACTCTGCATAGGATCTAGGCCTTGGCACCTCTGCACCTTCCCTCATGATCAGCACAAAGAACATGTGAAACTCTTCAAAACTACACAGCCTTCAGCAGGCTCTTCCCACCTGCATGAAATTTATTATGAACACTTTGCTCCTTTTTAGCAATCTCACATGGAAATAGCACAGAGCTGCACATCAGAATTCTTAGAGATCCTGTGATCAGAACATAATTGGAATCACCATATGCAGATTTTGTTCTTCAAGAGAACTGTACCAAATAGCATAAGCGCTCAGACAAGTTCAACACAGAGAATTTGTACTGCAAAAATCTTGACCTGGGATGCTCTGCAGGGTTTGCAGAGCCATGTGTGACAACATGACACATCATCTCTACCAGGTTCAAGTGCACAAAAAGAAGAAGTCCAGTGCACAAAGATGACCCTCACCACCTCATTACGTGCACTGAGATAAGAACCAAAACGCTGACAAGCAAAACATCATAATGGATTATACTGACTGTGTTGGAGAAATTGGTTTGGGTATTGTTGATAGGGGTTATTCTCTGGATTATTTGTTTGCTTTCTTTTCATAAAAGGTTATTTCTATGGTTTTTGAAGTGATGCTGCTGTTGGTAGGAATTTTGATACAACATCAAAAGATTACATGGTATTTCCTACTAGTTCTCTGGCCAGGAAAGTGCATTCGGAACTCGGGAACAGGGGACCAAGGAAAAGAAAATTCCACTTTCTAACTCTTACCCTTGGAGAAAACTCTTCACTCAGAAGATAATATTTTTAAGCAGAGTAACAAGATCCCTGGGACCAGATGATAGGAAAGGCTTACCACATCTTCCCATTTCATAATGTCTCTAGTGTTAGAACGAAATTTCAGTTTAACCTTCCGTTGACTGAGAAAACGATAAAGTCCCAATTTTCACCTAGCATTAACATAGTTAGGGAGCAGAATCAGATAAGAGGAAGAGAATTTTCGTTAGGAAAAAAAAACTAAACACAGGACTGTCCACCAATTTGTGGGAAATGTGAACACCACAGCCTGCATGTAGAAAATTCTACCCACCAGAGAGAATGGGGGTATTCTGCAAAGCTGACACCACGGGACACTTCTTATAGCAAGAGACAATGATTTCATTCCACGAGAGAACTCACACCCAGCACAGAACCCCACACCTATGGACAATACGTGCTGCAGAGCGCGCTAATGCATTTATTTCCACTCCACCACCCTCACCACCCCAGTACACGAGCAAGAACCGGGTCGCTTCGGCGGCAGATGCAGAGGTAGAACTCATATCCGGAAGCACTCGACAAGCATCGATTGCCCCGGGGGCGGAACTTGGCTCAAAACAGAACCTGAACCGCGGACGAAAGGGACTGGGCAGGGAGGGGAAAGAGGCGATGAATAGACAAAGGAGAAAAAAGCAGTGCCACTGACCGTGTCGAGGAGAGCGGAGGACTCCGGCTGCGTGTCCTTGGGCGCGGGGCCGGGCGGCGGCGGCGGCGGCGGGAAGTTGGGGCTGAAACCCATGAGGTCGCTCTTGGCGGCGCCGTCCGCCACGCACAGGCTGCGGCTGTGGCGCTGCGAGTACGACCAGCTGCCCACTTCGCTGGCGCACACGAGCGTCGTGGGGCCGGGCCCCGAGAGCACGGCCGCCCGCGGCGCCCAGCGCGACGCCCCGTACAGCACCACGGCCAGCAGGAACAGGCTGGACACGGCGCAGATGGCCACCACCAGCCACACGTTGGTGGCCGCGCTCGCCGCCCCGGGCCCCAGCTCCACGCCCACGGCCGAGCGCGACAGCGACGACGACGACGACGACGACGAGGATCCCGCGGCCGCGGCCAGCGCCGCCTCGGCCGCCTCGAGCAGCGACACGCTGAGCGTGGCCGTGGCCGAGCGCGCCGGCTCGCCGTGGTCGCGCACGACGATCAGCAGCCTGTGGCGAGGCCCGTCCGCCTCGTCCAGCGCCCGCGCCGTGCTCACCTCGCCGCTGTAGAGCCCCACGCGGAACGGGCCCTTGCCCCGCGGCTCCCACAGCTCGTAGCGCAGCCACGCGTTGTAGCCCGAGTCGGCGTCCACGGCGCGGATCTTGGCCACCACCTGCCCCGCCGGCGCCCCCCACGCCGCCCACGCCCACAGCGTGCCCGACGCCGAGCCCGCCCCCACAGCCGCCGCCGCCGCCGCCTCGGCCGCCACGGCGCCCGCCTCCGGGGCCGAGCCCGCGGGCGGCAGCAGCGCCGGCGCGTTGTCGTTCTCGTCCAGCACGAAGAGCTGCACCGTGGCGTTGCCGCTCAGCGGCGGCTGCCCCGCGTCCACCGCGCGCACCTCGAACTGCAGCACCTGCAGCTCCTCGTAGTCCAAGGGCTGCAGCGCCCACAGACGCCCGCTCTCCGCGTCCACCGACACGTAGCTCGACGCCGGCCGCCACCCGCCGCCCGACGACGACGACGACGACCCCGCGGCCGCGCCGCCCACGCCCGCGCCGCCCTCCCACACCGAGTAGCTGACGCGCCCGTTGCCCGCCTCGTCCGGGTCCCGCGCCCACAGCCGCGCCAGCTCCGCGCCCGCCGCGTTGTTCTCCCGCGCCAGCACCGTGTACACGGCCTGCGCGAACGCGGGCGCGTTGTCGTTCACGTCCGACACCGGCACCCGCAGCCCGCGGCTGGCGCGCAGCGCCGGCGCCCCGCCGTCCTCCGCACGCACCTCCACCTCGTACTCCGACACCCGCTCCCGGTCCAGCGCCTCGCGCAGCACCAGCGAGTACGAGCCCGCGAACGTCGCCTCCAGACCGAACGGCGACGCCGGCCACACCCAGCACCGCACGCGCCCGTTCTCCCCCGAGTCCCGGTCCGACACGCTCAGCAGGGCCACCACCGTCCCCACCGACGCGTCCTCGGGCACCGGCACCGACAGCGACGTCACCCACACCTCCGGCGCGTTGTCGTTCACGTCCAGCACCTCCAGCACCAC